TATGAATAATGTCGAGTTTTACATCAAGGCTCACCCGAACTGTTATTATAAGGAATATGCGGGGCATTTTCGATAATTAATTTTTGTACAGCAATTTTTGTGATAAGTTAATGTCTGAAGAGGGCCTCGATCCGATAGCCGAAACTTGTAATTTAAACTGTGTTTTTTTTTTCTAATTTTTTTCATTTTTACTTTTCTTCATTTGTAATTTATTCTTTCCAATTGTGCAACAATTTAGAATTAAAGTGTTCGACCCTTCATTTATTGTCATTTATTTTGTATACGAAGAGTCCTTCTATCTGTTAAACGTTCACTAATTTATTTTCTCGGTGAGAATAATGCTGAGATGAGAGAATTATGCTTTAATTAATATTCGACAAAGAAACGAAAAAATCTACTAATATTCGAGGGCCTCTTGCACGGTACGTGATATCGGCTGCTCGATTGCAGGTCTGCTGTTTCATCGAGGCGTTCTGATGTCAGGCAGCGCGCTTTCACCGTGGGCGTTAGTGAGAGGCGCCGCCAATTACGCCATGCAGGTCGCCAAACACCTAAATTGTTCATCGGTGAGTACCAACAAACATGTCCTCCCGATCCGCGCCGAAATGATCCTACGCGTCAGCCTATAATTTCATTAACCCTTCTACCCAGAAACCTTCCTCCTCGAAAGTCAACGTAGAATTCAGCGACACTGGAAATATGGATCGACGCAGCTTGCACATGCGTGCGTTTAAGAATCTATCAGATATATAGTGAGTACGTTACTCACTACAAAAATGTGTCTACAAAAAGAGACTGGAATTGAAAACTTACTTTCGAAAGAAGAAATGTTATGAAACAATTCAATAAGATCAATTTAATACATATTAATAAAATTTTATAGTTTAAGTGACATTTTTGTCATTTGGTTTTAATTATTATTTTTACTTTCTTAAATTTGTTTTTTTTTTTTTTAAGCATATTCACTTTTTGTCGAAATAATTTGTTATCCGGGGATCTCAATCAACATCAAACTTTTACTTTCAAATGTAATATTTCTTAACAATATTATTTTTACTTTCAAATATAATACAGAAAAATCTGTAATTCATTCCACAATTTTTTCATTTTGTTCAAAAATACGTGTAACATCCTTAACCGTAGCAGATGAAATTAGATTTTGTGGAATTAAAACAGAATGCCCTTTTGGGCAAAATTTAAGCCGAATCTCTCCGAAAGTGGGAAAAAAAAATTTGGAAAAATTCAAAAGCTCTGCGAACACAGATTTGACTTTACGTGACAGCGAACGTGATGAATCCAGCGTTAAATTCGAACACGCATTTCGTTGATTTCAGTTTACAGGATGAGACCGATCGACAGAGTACAGTGTGCTCGTAATATTTCATCGTGTCGATGTCTCTCTCGGCTCTTAATTCTTATTCGCTCGTTTTCGAGCTCGCATAATTCGCGATAATTCCGATCGCCGGCGACGAAACGACCGCGTAAAAGCGGGCGGGCATAAATTAAAATATCAAATGCGAGTATACTCGCGCACCCGGTGTTTTTACAGCATTAATTACGCAATACCAATTATATTAACGGTGCGTTTCAATTAAGCTAATATACACTCGAGACATCGGCCCCCAATAGGCGAGTGCGCGCGCACTTTCAATAAAAGGGACGTTAAATTTCGCAAATTGCAAACCGAAGCGATGGAAATTCGGTATACGCGCACAGCTATAATTATTCTATCAGTTAGATATTTCTTGATTGTACGAATATAATTAAATAATATAGTTTTGTATATCGACTTAACAGGAAATAATATGAAATTGCAGGAAATTATAGCTATCTGAAATTTCAATAAAAGATACCGCCGTATCATTATTGCATGGATTCGTCATTCCCATCCAAGCCATTGTTATCTTTTTCCCATTCTTCCCCTTTTCTCCGGATACCCTCCTGCGCTAGCGAGCGAGCCATGGAAAATATGTTGTCCTCGGTTTGACGGTTATTTTATTAAAGGTGAATTACGTACTTGGCTCACTTTATAACCGCAAAGCCACCGTGACGTATCCTTTATTGAAATTGATATGCAACGCTGTAAATTCCGGCGACGATATTCCCGATCCGGTCGGAAAGCCTCGATATCTACAAGCCCGTCGCGTTTTCTCGTCCATCAAAAATAACGCAATAAAAGATACCTCGGTTCCAACAGTGTTTTCCCAATTTCAACTTTCCCCTGTGGATATTTCGGCTCTGTGGACGGTGCGGACGAAGGCGGGGATGGAAATAAAATTGATTCCCGCTACAAGTGCGCCGATCCGAGCGGCATAATATAATCCCCATCTCAATTTCCATTTTGCACGCCGCCATTTTTCCAGGGCATGCTTTGGAAACATCGAGAAACAATTGACGTAATCCTCGTTTAATCGTTACTTTCAATCGCGAACCACAAATCGCGACCGTTTAGGCTTGATAAACCGTATTTTTCAACTAACAATCCGGAGCTTTTTCAAATTGATATTATTCGGGGAAAAAAAAGCAAAGAAAAGGAAACAAATTTCGATTTTTATCCAATTTCTTTTTTGTGCAAATTCTTTTTTCAATATCAAATACAAACACTCTCTCTCTCTCTCTCTCTTTCTCTCTCGCAGTTATGTTTATTTCCTAACAGTCCATTGAACAAAGATTCATTTTTAAAGATATTTTGTCTGCACAATCAGCTAAAAATATCAGCCAAAAAAAGGTCAATATTAGCTTAAAAAATTTTGACCATAAATATGCCCAGAGATAAAAAAAACTGCAAAAAATGAAATAACAAATAGTCTCATTGATATTTAAAATAATGATATTTACTTGAAATTTTATAGATGAATAATTTTCAAATGAAATGAATCCAAATAACCTTTTGCGCGAATATTTATTAGAGTTTTATTGATACAAGTAAAAAAGTTGATTTAATTCGTAACGCTGATTAAATTTGCTACTATAAAATGCGATTTTATATAAGAAACGAAAGCCAGAAAATTAAGTAACTTTCATGCTTATAAAAAAATTGTTGCTCAAATTTGACACATACGTAATAATAGAATAATCTATGCAAGTTTTATATTTTTGATAATACTCGGTGCGATAACACATCCATCCTTAAGGTTATATTAGATATAATATCTGCAAAAAAATTAAAATCTATACTGTTTTACTATTTATTTCTTTTAAATTATTATGTACACACATAAATCTATTCGATAAAATCAATATTTATATTCAATGATACAACATTTATTATTTAAATGAAAATTTTCTCATTTTACTTTCTTTTTACAAAAAAACACGCCAGTTCTCAATAAAATCATTATTAATCGAGGTTCTAAATAGCCGCCGAACCACTATTTATATTACTTTCAAATAGAAAGCACAACATGGAAAAATCTATTATTAAATTTTCTTATATTGTTATTTGTTTCCGTTATATCGCATTTTCTTCATTTCGAGGAAAAAATACGTATTGACGTATCCTTAAACGATAAATTCTTGTTACGTTGGCGCGACAAGTGCTTCCTTACTTTTCGAGAAAAAAAGGGAAAAGAAATCTTTTATTTTTTCATCCGTTTATCGCACGCGATAAACTGCGCATAATGCACGAGATAACTCATGTGGCAAATCGCCCGAGCATAGCGGAAGGCGTTTCAGAGTTGACGCGTTTCGCGCGGGACGTGGGGGGGATCGTGTCGGGAAAGGGTCGACATTTTCCGGCGGCATTTCCCGGCGAGGATATACCGTCGGAACAAGGCGGGTGCGGCCTTAACGAGGCTACCACCCTGCGCTGGCACACCATCGCCGGGCAAGGTAAACAAGATTTTCGTGCGTCTCTCAGCTGAATTCGATGGCGCCCGAAGTTGGAGACCGAGTGCCCGCCGGCCTCACCGAGGCCGATTCGCTTTAATTTCGGGCTCGCACGCAAATGAATTGCTTTAGCGTTGGTAATCGTCTTTGGAAATCCAGCTCCCAACGCAGACACGGCGGTTACCCGCAATCGAATGTCGAATCGCCCGCTGACTAAATGCAACGTCCTGCATGTGTGTAAATTGCCCGTCCGCACGTGGACCATCGTTCTCGATCGAACGAGGAACGCGTCTGATTGTGCCGATTCCCGTCCCGATAAAATTACCCGGCACAATCGCGTTAAATGTTACGACTTAATAGGGTATCCCGCCGCTCCTGGTCTTAATTGTAATGACCGGTTCTATGGCCAATCTGGAGCTCCGTTTTCTAAAACGGGAATGTCGATGAAAATATTAACAGCGATCATTCAATTTTTCACATCGCTCGTGTAAATTGTAATTAAATGTTGATTACGATCTACATTACATATAGTTACGTTTTATTACTGTAATTAAACACAATTATGATTCTGTTAATTTCGAAGAAATTAAATGTGGAATATTATAATTTATAATTTAACTTATTTCCCTAGAATCTAATTTCGCAAATTACATCTTTTTTAATTTCTCGGGAGGAGATAAATAAATATATAGGAGATAAATTTGCACGTGCTAAAAATAACAGTTTTCCCTAAGAAAAATTCTGAAGAAAAAGGTAATGGACCAAATAAGAGGAGGTTTTTTTTTCCTCATTAAATATAATGTACTTTTATCTATATATTGAAAATATGTCTATATTAAAAAAAAATGTTTATACAGATTTATTATTGTACAATATATAAAAATCATGCACTGCAGCAGCTATTTCTTCTTAAAGATGGAAAACTTTGTTATCTTATATTTACTCTGTAAGAGAAGATTGAAAAATATTTAAAAACGTTAATGTCCCTCTTTTTTATCTCGTTTAAATATAAAAAATAAAATGTAGCAATAGATTCTAATGGTTATGATTTTTCTGAAGTGTCGATCTTATTTTTTATAGGTAGCGGAAGATCCTCAGGCTCTGTTAAAATGTCTGAGAGATGTGTCTTTGAGTGAATTGGTATCGGTGCCTGTTAAAGGGCTGGAGTTCGCACCAGCTTTTGGCCCCAGTATAGACGGCGTTATAATCGATCCTGGCGATCCCGAGGATCAGGACTACACCCTGCAAGTCGACACGATCAATACGCTCAACAACATCCTTCTGAGAAAGGACGTCGTCGCGAAACTGTCGAGGTATCGTAACTCCTCTTTTTGTTTCAATCGTTATAACTAGCGAAATCGAGCATCGAGGCAAGGGAAAATAAATAGCGCGAGAAACACAATACCGGAGTTCTGAAGGAATATCACCAAGAAAGATAAAATCGCATCCTACAACATTGAGAATAACTCTTTTATTCCTCGTTGAAAAATACGAAAAACTCTACTACAAACAAGACTGTAGAGGTCGAATAAATCTCAGCGACCAAAGTGTAAATGAAAGATCCTAGTATTTAAGAATTGATTTAAGAACTCAAATGGAGGTCGCTTAAACGTTTTACAATTACATTATTAATTATTCCGTAAATTGTGACATTTTCTATTAGCAGCACTGGAAGAAAAGATTGATTGTTGCAACAATTTACGTAGTAAAATACGGCATATTTTTAATATTTTTATATGGTTGCAGCAACCAGTTTTTGGTTGTCTATCCACAATGTCAA